TTGAAATAGAAGATAGGGTCAAGAAGGTTTCTTTGTCCCCGCTCCACCTTATGGACATCTCTACTTCTTCACTTCCGCTTTTCAAGATATTCCTTTGACAAGCATTTGCAAGGATTATTTTATATGATAAATGTGTGAAGTTTATTTATTATGTCACTATTTTTAATCTCATAAACATAATCTAGCAAACAAAAATGGAAAAGAAAGGAAAAGAAAACAGTTCAGTAACGCTATACTCTGTAGTTTGCTTTTGTCCAAGCTATTCAAGCTGCGCAGTTCCTTCCCCTTTGATCTCAAAAACCTTCTTAAGAACATTTCCAACAACCTGTAATTTTTAACCCATTTCACAAAAGTTAAATCTCAGTCACAGACACAAAACATTCCGAGGTTTGACCAACTTTTAACTTACCTGATCTGGTGTAGAGGCACCGGAGGTCACTCCAATGGTAATATGCCCATCAGGTAGCCAGTTTTCTTTCTTCACCAACTCCCCGTGCTGTCGTGCAATTCAACGAGTTGACATGAGTATAAACGTAACGATCCTAACCCACCGCTAGCAGATATTGTCCTCTTTGGACTATCCCTTCCAGGCTTCCTCTCAAGGTCTTAAAACGCAACGGCTGGGGAGAGGTTTCTGCACCTTTATAAAGAATGTTTTGTTCCCCTCTCCAACCGATGTGGGAGCTTACAATCCACCGTCTTTAGGGGCCCAGCATCCTTATTGATATACCGCTTGGTGTCCACCCCCTTCAGGGTTCAACCTCCTTACTGAAACATCGCCCGGTGTCTGACTTTGATACTATTTGCAACGGCCCAAGCCCACTGCTAGCAGATATTATCCTTTTGGGTTTTCCCTTTTGGGCTTCCCCTCAAGGTTTTAAAACGCATTTTCTACGGAGAGATTTTCATACCCTTAAAAAGAATGTTTTGTTCTCCACTCCAACCGACGTGGTATCTCACAATAAAAGAAAAACAAATGCCAAGTAGTCTTTAGATCAACATTCTAAATTCATACTTACTTTGAGCTTGTATGATATCGAGTTTCCTGGCCCTATACGTTGCTCACTATCGATCCAGTACGACGGGATTCCTCGAGCCTCTGCAATCTCTTGAAGGTGAGAGGTGTTGCTTGAGTTCCATCCTCCAACAACTAACATGAGATCCGTATCTTCCTCCACCAGCTGGTACATGGCATCTTGACGCACCTAAGGAAAAACACCACCAATCACCATCACCAGATTTTATCGTAAATACATAATTTTGTACATTACTACGAGAAAGATCGGCCTATTATCAACGGACACGAGGCCCTTACGAGTAGTAAACTTCCATCTCATCCGTTTCGAACAATATCAACACTTTACACGACAACTTTAACATGTACAACTGCTGTGTAAGAAGAATGGAGTACTTACTTGAGTAGCATTACAGATCGTATTGAAACTAATGAAGTGTTCACTAATATTTTCAATTCCATACTTCCGCATCATAGTTTTCTCGATCAATTTTCCTGTTATCAGAATCATAAGATCAATGATTCACAGATTGCGAGTTTCTAACAAATCAATGGCTCCAAAAATTTACCAATCTCTTTTGTTTCCTCTTTGAGCATTGTGGTCTGATTAGCAATGCCAACCTTCATGAGGTCACTATCTGGATCGAATCCTTTTGACACAGCAGACTTAAATTTCTACAAACAAGCCAGAAACACGACTAATATCATGAGCGATATCATAAAGTATCAGCAAGTTCCATTAACCAAATCACTAACATGTACCTTTAAAAAATCTTCTTTAGTTGAGATCAATCCATTACTTTCAACCCCAAGAATGTAGTCGCATACATATGTCGCCTGACATCGGTTCAGATTTTAGTTTTAAAATGCTTCCTTATGCTATGAGCCAAAAGTACCAAGGATTTACCTCTACCATGTCTTTCACAATGATGTACTTTCCAGCGAACGAAGCAGTTGCTACGGTTTCTTCGTGATGATACTTGCCGTGAATTATTGATGTGTATTCTCCTTTTTTGTGCTTGTCAACAGCATTCCAAACCTATACAAAAGAAATGCAGAGGTAATCTCAGCATCAACAGCTACACTGTACCCTTACTTTTCTTCAATGATGGTACTCGGAGGGATTGTGAATGACAAGAAAATGATGGAGTACCTTGGAAACCCATGGGCAAGTTGTGTCAACAATCGTAACTTTTTTGTCACTCAGAACAAGCATTTCATCAACTGCAGCCCCAAAGGCAGGCAAAATCACAACATCTCCAGGGTTAACAACATCAAATCGTTTCTTTCCTTCCTCCAGAGGAATGTTGTACACTCCCATCTCCTCCAAACGCTGCAGACACATAGAATTTCCGAACAGTTACAGTAAGATATTTCATTCAACACATCATGTTGTTGGCTACCCTAAAAGAAAATCAGAATAAAACAACACAATAAGGAAGAGTACGATCTAAACTTGGGAGTATTGAGGATTATTGAAAGGAGTAGTCCTACATTGGCTAATTAAGAGGAAAATCATGAGTTTATAACCAAGGAACACTATCTCCATTGTTATGAGTTATTTTGGGTAAACCAAAAGTAAAACCACGAGACCTTATGCTCAAAGTGGACAATATCATACCATTCTGGAGGGTCGTGTTTCCTAATATGGTATCAAAGTCATGCCCTTAACTTAGTCATGTCAATAGAATCCTCAAATGTCGAACAAAGAAGTTGTGAGCCTCGAAAGTGTAGTCAAAAGTGACTCAAGTGTCGAATGAAGGGTGTACTTTGTTTGAGGGCTCCAGAGAAAGAAGTCGAACCTTGATTAAGCGAAGGTTGTTCGAGGGCTCCATAGGCCGAAAGGGAGGCTCTATGGTGTAACTCGTTTGAGGGGAGGATTGTTGATGATTATTGAAAGGAGTAGTCCCACGTTGGCTAAATAAGAGGAAGATCATGGGTTTATAAGTAAGGATATTCGGGGAAAACAAAAGCAAAACCATGAGAGCTTACGTTCAAAGTGGACTAATCATACCATTGTTGAGGGTCATGATTCCTAACCGGGAGAAGTTCTTTACTACATAAATATTTACAGTACTACTACAACATGGATCATTCTTTCGTATCCATTTCATTATGTATTGAAGTCGCTAAATAAAATAACTTAACAACAACTCAACATTTTCAAGCACAGACCGAAAGAGAGTGTTTCAAATGACATTTTAAGTGCTACAAAACACTTGGAAAGTAATTTCAAACACACCCTTAGTATGTACTAGAACATTTGTGATCATTGTGTAACCAATGAAACAGTAAAGGCAAGAAAAGTTAAACCATCAAAAGGACCTTGTTAACAGTTGGGTTGTGAATAATCTCATTGGTAATCCATATCGTTTCACTCGGAAACTGTTTCCTCGCTTCATAAGCAATCTGCACAGCTCGTTCCACTCCCCAACAAAAGCCATAAGCTCCAGCCAATTTGACAGTAACATTCCCCCAAGTGAACCGATTCCCATTTTCATTCAGAGTATTCACAACTTCACCTAAGCCATTCAATACAAAGAAAAATTGGCACCAACAAAACGAGGATTCAACACACTAAAATCATCATTCAAATACAACAAAAACTCACTTGTAAACTCGCTGCTCATGAGCTTCAACGTCTCCTCCTTATGCTCAAACCCTTTCCGATTATAGTTTTCACCTCTGGAAAAGTTCTTCCAGAACAGCTTCGCATCGAAATCGGGATTGACCGACGAAGAATCAGCTGTGCACCGAACCAAAAGGGGTTTCCAGCACCGGAGAGCTCCGCCGCCGGAGAATCTCTTCGATGAAACAGAGTCTACACGTAGGGGAAGACGGGGGATCTGCAGAGAAATCGCCATGGGAAACGGTGGTGTAACAACAACGAAGAATGGACGTTGACGTAGAAATATAAACGCACAGCATTGTTGGTGCTTCGTAAATTACGTTTCAAATTCAAAGTCCAAATCCGGAAAAGTTCTACTCATTAAAATAGTGAAATCAATGAACAGGTATACCGAATCTTGATCCTACTTTACAGATTACCTCCTCCGATTAGCAGAGATGGTGGGTAGTTGAAAGCATGGAACGACTACGAGTGAAAAAACATCGAACTTTTGGAAGAACGTTGAACTTTATTTCGCTCATTTTTCAAATAAAAATATCTCTTTTATCTTAAAAAAAACAATATACTTAAAAAAAAAGTTTTTAATAATATCTAATTTTAGATTAAAAAAAATAATAATTGAAGGAGTTTGATTAATATTAAAAAATAAAAATTATTATTTTTATATTTAAAATAATTTAATATTAATATTGTTCAACTTTCTTTAAAAAATTTAAAATACTTTTAACCTAATTAAATTCCCTAAAATTTTAATAATGGACGAAAATCACTTAGATTATCATGTCAAAAAGTTTTTTAAAATTAGTTAAAAAGGTTTTAAACTATTTTTAAAAAATTTAAAAATTAAAGTTATTAAAAATTTAAAAATATTTTTGAATAGATATTAGAAATTAAAAGATATATTTTTTTAAAAGATATTTTCGAAAGAAAAATATTATCCGTAAAATTATATTCTACAATATTTAGAATAAATATAATGGTAACATTAAATAACATTATTTAGTAAAAGTGGAAAAGTAAAATAAACTAAAAGTAATTTACTTTTCAAATAAACTATAGTTTTATTTTTATTTTTATTTTTAAATTTAAGAATATTATTGAATGAAAGCAGAAAATATTTTATTAATTTAGCATTAAATAAAAAAAAAATACAAAAGATTCTAAGATACCAAGCGTCTACAGCAATCATGAACCGGATATTTCATCGGACCAAAACGACGTCGTTTGCCGTAAGCAATAATACGACGTAGTATTGCTTTTGCTCTCTCTGGACTCCGGACTTCTCTTCTCGCTCACAAGTTTGCTCTCTTTTTTTTTTTTTTTTTTTTAAATTAATTATTTTTTTTAATTTTTGTTTTATTTACTTCATCGGAGCGACTGCCATTTAGTCGTTGTCCTTTCACTCTCTTCGCCGGCTTTTCCAACGATCTCCCCGGAGGGAAACGTTCTCCGGCGTTCCCCGATTCTCCGGATCGGATTTATTCATCGAATCTCTCTCGTTATCGATTGATATTTTTTCTTACTTGTATTACCAACTGAGCTTTGCTTTTTTATTTTATTTTTTTCCATCTGACTTCAATTTGTCTTTCTATTTCCCCAATTCGATTTCGCTATTTCTTTCGCCAATTTTTCAATGGAGGACTGCATCAGCAGCGATGAAGACTACTATGACTCCGATCGTGAGTCTCTTCAGGGTCTCGAGAACGAGGACTCTGAAATTCAGTGGGTTTCTAAAGGTCCCGCGACTAAGGTATTCTATTTTTTTTGGTACGAGGAGGGATTCTAATTGCGATTGATTACTTGGTTTGCTGATTGAAAGTTGTAACTCTTGTTGTTGGTTTCAATTTTAGTGAGTTTCTTTTGTGGTGATAGCAGGGAATGAATTGATTGGGTTGAAATATAACGCTCCTTGTTTTGTTTTTTGGACTCTTACTGTTTTTGTTGTTATTATTACTCTTCTGAAAAAAAAGAGGTTTTTCTCCAAGTTTGTGATGATGGGGCGGCGGAATTTGGTGCATAATGCTTGGAATTTCTTTCCTGTTGAGATTCATGTGAATTTTCTAATCAATCATGCTTATGACAACCCTTTTTGTTGTTTGCAGGTTATTACAAAGGAATCTCTCCTTGCTGCACAGGTTTAGCACCGGTTCTTCCCATCATATAAAAGACACTTTATCTCATTCTATTCTTTCATTGGATTCATGGGTTCTTTTTCGTTATTTGAATCTGATTTTAGGGCCGTTTTGTTTTCGTGTAGAAGGAGGACATGCGTAGAGTAATGGAGTTACTATCATTGAGGGAGCACCATGCTCGGACCTTACTCATTCATTACCGATGGGATGTAGAGAAATTGTTTGCAGTACTTGTGGAGAAAGGGAAAGGTCACTTGTTTGCTACTGCTGGTGTTACTATGATTGAGAATCGAAGTAATTGTTCCTCTGAGACTTCCTCCGTGGTGATGTGTGATATCTGCATGGAGGAAGTACATAGCAATGATGCAACAAGAGTGGATTGTGGTCATTGCTTTTGCAATAACTGTAAGCCTTTTATTTCCCTCTAAAATTAGATTTCAAATGGCCTTGTGAACTGATATTGTAAAGATTGTCTGTGATGTTAGTTGTAAGCAATTGTTATGGAATCAAATTGTGCTAAGTCCGTATAAATGACTAATAATTGGCTGAGCTTTATTTCTTGCTTCAGGTTGGACTGAACATTTCATTGTGAAAATAAATGAGGGTCAGAGTCGTAGAATCAGATGCATGGCCCACAAATGTAATGCAATTTGTGATGAAGCTGTTGTTAGGAATCTAGTCAGTAAAAGGCATCCAGATCTTGCCAATAAATTTGATCGTTTCCTTCTTGAATCATACATCGAGGATAACAAAAGAGTCAAGTGGTGTCCAAGCGCTCCTCATTGCGGCAATGCTATACGCGTGGAGGATGATGAGTTCTGTGAAGTAGAATGTTCTTGTGGTCTTCAGTTTTGTTTCAGTTGCTTATCAGATGCTCACTCGCCGTGTTCATGTTTGATGTGGGAACTTTGGATTAAGAAGTGCCGAGATGAATCTGAAACTGTTAACTGGATTACAGTTCATACAAAGCCCTGTCCAAAGTGCCACAAACCTGTGGAGAAGAATGGAGGCTGTAATCTCGTCAGCTGCATCTGTGGTCAAGCATTTTGGTAAGATTATACTATTTTTTTAATCATTTTCTTTGTTATAGTTTTTTTTTTTCAGTAAATGGGTGAAATGGAGCATTCTGTTCAAAACTACTTATATATGAGACCTGAAATCAAACTTTCAGATAGCGATGATCCCTTTCATATATTGGCGAGACTTTGAGGCAGATAGCTCATTTTCATATTTTGCTGAAACTGAGACCGACACTGCAAGTATTGGCCAGTGTGGTACTCGTCAGATACTTACTGTTCATAGTTAGGTTCGATATAAGACAAATGGTCATACATCTAAATTCTTCTCTTGAAAAGCATACATGATTTTAGCGGCCTTGAAGAAGTAACTTTCTGCATTTCATTTGATGTGAAAATGTTCTGAAGAATCTAGTCATTTGGTGCCCTTTCTGTCTCTTTCGATGAACAAAATTATTTTTCTTTGCTATTGTCTTTTTAATATATGCCATTGATTCATATAATAGTGCACCACTTTTTGAGGTCTCAAACAATTTGTGAGTGGTCAATAATCTTCGTGATTTTTTAAAATAATTTTTTCTTACCTTTTGGGAATTTGCTAATTTGTTATCAATAGAATTTTAATGATCTCACATCATGGTTTGTTTTTTCTTTATAGATGATAGATTAGTTAGATGTATATTGGAAATTTCGAGCAAGTTATAAGAAGGATTGCAGTTACTTATTTAGATAGTACTACCTAATCCATCTCCATTACTTTGATTGAAACTTAGAATAGGAAAAAATTCAATTGAATATTATGGTTTGAAATACCATAATTCACTCTAATATTTTTCTACATTCACTTGAACAAGTTCAATATAATTTATTTAATCATTTTAGCCTTATGCTGGTTATAGATTCTGTAAAAATACGAATCTCCATGATCTAAGGAAATAAGTTTAGTTAGGTGCGAAGCATGATGTGTGAAAGATGGTTATTTTTTCTTTTAACTCACCAAATAATTACTTAAACCTTGCTTCAATTTGAATATAAATTCATAAAAGTCGAGCATTTAGTGCTTAAGACATAAGTTTATGATAGTAGAACTGTTTCTTTTTCCAATTGTTAATTCTTTACAATAAAATTCATTTGAATAATATTTTCATAAACACTTCAATTTTAGCATATGGACCGCAGTAGTTAATTTCATCTCTTAACCAGCTACTTGTTTCTATTTTAGCTATGTTCTTCTCACCTTGTTTTACTTTTATTAAGTGGGTCTAAGTTTCTAATTCCCATCCTTCTGGTACAGTTGGCTGTGTGGTGGAGCCACTGGTCGAGAGCACACTTGGTCGAGTATTTCTGGTCATAGTTGTGGGCGTTACAAAGAAGAATCAGAACAGAAAGCTGAGCGAGCAAAACGGGATTTGTACCGTTATATGCACTATCATAATCGATACAAAGCTCATACAGATTCTTTTAAGCTTGAAAGCAAATTGAAGGAATCCATACAAGAGAAGATCTCGATTTCTGAAGAGAAGGAATCTATGCTCAGAGATTTTAGTTGGGTAAACAATGGACTGTGTAGACTTTTCAGATCAAGGCGGGTTCTATCATACTCTTACCCATTTGCGTTCTACATGTTTGGGGATGAGCTATTCAAAGACGAGATGACTCAGGAGGAAAGGGAGATAAGGCAGCATCTATTTGAGGACCAACAGCAGCAACTTGAGGCAAATGTTGAGAAGCTCTCCAAGTTTTTAGAGGAACCGTTTGATCAATACACGAAAGACAGGGTAATGGATATAAGGATGCAAGTCATCAATCTGTCGGTTATCACCGATACCCTCTGCAAGAAGATGTAAGTATACTGAGCTATCTGTTCTAAAAACGTGTAAAGCTCTTGGAAGTCATGTCTTATTCTAACGCAGGTACGACTGTATTGAGAATGATCTTCTGGGTTCACTTGAACTGGGTATCCACAATATTGCTCCTTACAAGTCGAAGGGCATTGAGAAGGCGCTGGAGCTTTCTGCTTGTTGGAACAGCAAAGCAAATAATACAGACAAATATCTGCCATCAGACTGTGGAACAAGTGGTAAAGTGGAGAGTACTTTTCTACACTTTTTTATTCATCCCTATTTGGTTCACAAATCGTGATTTCGATTCGTCTGTCTCAGTTCTCAAATTTTGATCTCAATGCGTCTGTCTCTTGACAGTGTCCCTTATTTTTTAAAATATGCATTTATCATCTACATCTCTAAATCAAGATTATTGGGCATTGCTTGGTCTTTCTTTAGTCAGATAAATCTTTATTTTGGGCCTATTTGATGTGGAATTCTTAGAATTATTTTCAGTCAATTTCTGAGACAATATATAAAGAAAACTACCTGCAATACCGCTTTGTATAGATACTGGGTATAAAAGTTTTACTGATGGTATAAATGCAGGAGGATTGTCAGAGCGGAATAGACTGAGTAGCTTGAATTCCGATGAGAACGGATGCTCGTCTAGGAAGCGTGCCAGAGCCGAAGTCGTTACTGGCAACTGCTTCGATCTAAACTTACCTGCTGAGGTTGTTGATAGAAACTGATCTCTGGAAGTTGCGAGTTTATAACGTATAGTTGTACAGATCTGACATAAAACATTAGCTTCGTTAGCACGGGGATGGGCAATCGAGGATTGGCAATCCTAGGTATTTTTAACTCTTTACTCTTTGTTTATCAAGTTTGTCTCAGGTTGAATATATTGTCTTCGGCTGAGCTATATTTTGAAAGAGAATTATCTTTAAGTTTCACGTTCTTTACTTTTGAAAATCCGCAAATTGTACATAGCAGTGATATCGGGATTTGATGATGGTATTTGGAATGTAAATGCTTAATTCTCAGCTTGAGACAGACAAGAGGGTATATGCATTTTGAGCTCTAGTCTAATATTCTCTCTTGCTGGAAGTCAAATTTCTATGCTGTGTTTTATTTGATGTTTCCTGAAGTTCATGTCGTGTGCCATGAACATTTCCATGTCTCTGGTGATCTGTTTTTGGTCATATCCTGATCTTTGCCTTTTACGGGGAAGAAATAATGATAAAAGCTGGTTATAGCTGTTGGAATCTTTGGCATTTCATGATTTTGTTTTTAATTTAGTTGAACACGGGAGTAAAGTCGAACCTTCAACTTCTTCTTGATTGAAGATATGTGTTTTAACTAGTTGTTCGACCCCTTGAGTGGTTTATAATTGGAAGTGTCACTTTTTTGGCGGTTATAGCGGTTAGAACGTTCCACATTTCATGATTTTGTTTTTAGTTAAACACATGGAGTGAAGTCGAACCTTCAACTTCTTGGTTGAAGATGTGTATTTTAATTAGTTGAGTTATGCTTATGTTGACGTTTTGAGTGGTTTATAATTGGAAGTGTGACTTTTTTGGCAGCTTATAGCTCTTAGAATGTTCCATGATTTTGTTTTTAGTAAAAAACATGGGAGCGAAGTCGAATTTTCAACTTCTTCTTGATTGAAAATATATATTTTAACTAGTTGAGTTATGTCAATGTTAACATTTTTAGTGGTTTATAAGTGGAAGTGTGACTTTTTTGACGGGTTATAGGTGTTAGAATGTTTCACATTTCATGGTTTTGTTTTTAGGTAAACACGTGGGAGTGAAGTCGAACCTTCAACTCCTTGGTTGAAATGTGTTTTAACTAGTTGATTTATGCTTATGTTGACGTTTTATGTAGTTTATAATTTGAAGTTTCACTTTTTTTTGGCAGGTTTTAGTGGTAGAATGTTCGACTCTTCAACTTTAACTTTTATATCGATGATATATATTTTAACTAGTCAAATTTTGACTTAAAACTTTCCGCGTTAGGACTGAATTATTATTATTATTCTTTAGCTTTGATTGATGCCTCTTCAATGGCTAAACTAAGGAAATATTCTTCTCACTTTGGACTTTTCTTCATAATTAGTTGTTTCGGGGTTGTGATAATCGATAGAATTCTTTGAGTTCAAAGATTTAAATTCTCGACATATACTAAAGTTATTGAATATAAGAATTATAGAAAGTTTTTTATTGATTAGAAGCTATGAATGCAATATTATCTCATAAATGATGAATCATTTAACTTGAATTAACACTTAATTTTGAAATTGTTAACTTTAAAGATGATAAATCAAATGTTTAATATTTAATTTGGAAGTTTTTATAGGATAATTAACTTAAATTTGATTTAAATTACATTATTGTAAATATTCTCACACTTTGATGTAAAAAAAAAAAAACAATAACTAAAAAATCCTATTCAAATGTTTCAATTTAAATTAGAATTTAAAATAAAATAATAGAGCAACAAATTACATTTGAAGTAAAAATTGAGAATTGACAAATAATTTGGTTAGAAAATCTACCAAATTTTTTGAAAAAATAACTTTTTAAAATTAATTAATGGTTAAATATTATTTAGAATTAGTTTTAAATTAATTACCTTATTTTATTTTATTTAATGGTTATTATACCTAGAATTTAACCTTTTAACATTTTTAAAACATTAATGCAACTTTTTAAAATTCAAAGGAGATACATAAGTTTTGTTAGATGAAAGTCCGACATCTCGACTGGGTTTCTAATCAAATAATACTATCCTCATTGGTATGAGGCCTTTTGAAGAAGCCCGAACTAAAGCACGAGAGTTTATGCTTAAAGTAGACAATACATCTCGACTGGGTTTATAATTAAATAATACTATCCTCATTGGTATGAGGCCTTTTGAGGAAGCCCGAACTAAAGCTCGAGAGTTTATGCTTAAAGTAGACAATTTCATACAATTGTGGAGACTTGTGTTCATCTAACATAGTATCAGAGTTATGTCAATAGAATTCTCAAATGTCAAGCAAATGACTCCAAAAGAAAAGAAATAGGCATAGTAAAAAATGATTAAGAAACCATAAATTCAAAACAAAAGAAGTTAGAGCCTCGATTAAAGGAAGACATACTTGGTTTGAAAGGAAGTGTCGGACGAAAGCCACACCTGGACTAATGTAGAATTTGAAAAGATTAAGTCCAATGCAATTTAAACAATTATGACATATACTATAAACGTGGAGGGAATCACTTCGGCCAATCAATATACATATAGAGCACAAGAGTCGCTTGTAATCTTCTAATTTGGCCACCAGAAACCACTTATTTGGCGGATTCTGATTCCAAGTCTTGTGCTTTTCCAAACCCCACTTCCCATGTTTGCATTCCCTTTCTTCCCCTCAAAACCCTAGGCGGAGCCGGAGAAAGCACCGCCCATGGAAGAAGACAGCATAGATATGGTTCTGGCCAGAGCCACCGACCTCCGATTGAAGATCAGCAACTGCATTCACAATGCAACAACCACTGCTAGAACGGGAAATGAAGCCGCTGACGACGGCGGTTCCGCCTCCAAAACTCTGGTCGGAGATACGGAGGACGATGAAGAAGTAGAACGACTTTTGAGTGTCTGCGATGCTCTCGAGTCCTTGGAGACTCAGCTCTCCTCGTTGCAGGTTTTCTCTTAATTGGAATAATTTTTTTTTTTTTTTTTTTTTTTTTTTTTTTTTTTTTC